AATAAAGGGGGATATCAGCACTGTACTAAATAAAGGGGGCTTACCACCACTGTACTAAATAAAGGGGGATATCAGCACTGTACTAAATAAAGGGGGCTTACTACCACTGTACTAAATAAAGGGGGCTTTCCAGCACTGTCCTAAATAAAGGGGGCTCACAAGCACTGTACTAAATAAAGGGGGCTTACCAGAACTGTACTTAATTAAGGGGGACACCAGGACTGTACTAAATAAAGGAGGACATCAGAAGAGTACTAAATAAAGGAGGATATCACAACAGTACTAAATAAAGGAGGATATCACAACCATTCTAAATAAAGGAGGATATCAGAAAAGTACTAAATAAAGGGGGATATCAGGACGGTACTTAATACAGGGAGATATCAGAACTGTACTAAATAAAGGGGGATACCAGGACCGTACTAAAAAAAGGGGGCTTACAAGCACTGTACTAAATAAAGGGGGCTTACCAGCACTGTACTAAATAAAGGGGGCTTACCAGCACTGAACTAACTAAAGGGGGATACCAGGACCGAACTCAATAAAGGGGGCTTACCAGGGCTGTTCTAAATAAAGGGGGATACCAGGACCGTACTAAATAAAGGGGGCTTACCAGCACTGTACTAAATAAAGGGGGATACCAGCACTGTACTAAATAAAGGGGGATACCAGGACCGTACTAAATAAAAGGGGCTTACCAGCACTGAACTAAATAAAGGGGGCTTACCACCACTGCACTAAATAAAGGGGGCTTACCAGCACCGTACTAAATAAAGGGGGCTTACCAGTACTGTACTAAATAAAGGGGGCTTACTAGCACTGAAATAAATAAGGGGGGCTTACCAGCACGGTACTAAATAAAGGGGGCTTACCACCACTGTACTAAATAAGGGGGGCTTTCCAGCACTGTCCTAAATAAAGGTGGCTTACCAGCACTGTACTAAATAAAGGGGGCTTACCACCACTGTACTAAATAAGGGGAGCTTTCCAGCACTGTCCTAAATAAAGGGGGCTTACCAGCACTGTACTAAATAAAGGGGCTTACCAGAACTGTACTTAATTAAGGGGGACACCAGGACTGTACTAAACAAAAGAGGATATCAGAAGAGTACTAAATAAAGGAGGATATTAGAAAAGTACTAAATACAGGGAGATATCAGAACTGTACTAAATACAGGGGGACACCTTGACGGTACTAAATACAGGGGGATATCATGACTGTTCTAAATAAAGGGGGATACCAGGACGGTACTAAATACAGGTGGATATCATGACTGAACTAAATAAAGGGGGATACCAGGACTATACTAAATAGAGAGGGATACCAGGACTGTACTAAATACAAGGGGATACCAGGACTGTACTAAATAAAGGTGGATATCAGGACTGTACTAAATACAAGGGGATACCAGGACTGTACTAAATAAAGGTGGATATCAGGACTGTACTAAATACAAGGGGATACCAGGACTGTACTAAATAAAGGTGGATATAAGGACTGTACTAAATAAAGGGGGATATCAGGACTGTACTAAATACAAGGGGATACCAGGACTGTACTAAATTAAGGTTGATATCAGGACTGTACTAAAAACAGGGGGATATAAGGACTGTACTAAATAAAGGGGGATATCAGGACTGAACTAAATAAAGGGGGATATCAGGACTTTACTAAATAAAGGGGGATACCAGGAATGTACTAAATAAAGGGGGCTTACCAGGACAGTACTAAATACGGGGGAGTATCAGGACTGTTCTAAACCAAGGGGGATACCAGGACGGTACTATATAAAGAGAGATAACACGACTGTACTAAATACAGGGGGACATCAGGACTGTACTAAATAAAGGGGGATATCAGGACTGTACTTATAAAGGGGGATATCAGGACGGTGCTGTATGAAGAGAGATAACAAGACTGTACTAAATAAAGAGGGATACCAGGACTGTACTAAATACAGATGGATATCAGAACTGTACTAAACAAGAGTCATCACAAATATGACATATCCCCCCTGCAGCTGTCTGTAAAGTACCCACAAGTAAATGTGCAATTCTCTATGTAATGAGTCAAGAGTTGAATGTTCTTGAAGAAGCATACATTGCTTACCCACAAAAGATCCACCATGGTCGCATTCATAAGAAATGGAAAGTAAAACAAATGTGTTTCTGTGGGTTTTCTATGCAAACAAATGACAAATTACAAGAAACAATAACTAAACAAGCGTATAGTCAACGAAGTCATCTATATCCCCCGCCCATTTTAACACGTTATGGTCCCAAACCAGGTAACTGACCCAATATTTCTCTTAACCCATGCCGAAATAGTTCAAATACGGATTTCTATCAAGCCAAATCATTAATGTTTTCCTTCAAAGCCAAAGCATCATCAGACAATATTGCTTTCTCAGAGAGGTAAGTAATCAAACATTTCTTGACATCGGCCTTAAGCATACTAGATTTGACGTCAATTTGTAATATTTTGACAATTGGTCCTGTTCAGTAGAATGTTTGTTAACAAAGTAATCTACAATAAACACAATGGTGATTGATAACTTCACACAATTGTAGATAAAGCGCCAAAAACTCTTTCCATATCCAAAAGAAATCTCTGCAATAAGCAGATTCGATTTCCGATTCCGACTATGTCATGGTCATGTGTTTATGAATCACTATCAAATAGTGATAGTTCCAGGTGTTAGCGAAGAGGTGAGCGTATCCTGCCCCACCGGTGGCACCCATCACAAATACATGCAAAGACAAGTCAATTGTTCACCTGAAAAAACACGGGAACATATGGTCAAAATAGGGATTGCATTGGACATAATTTTTGTCATTGATACGTCGAATTTTGAAATGTCCTCCACATGTCTACCATGAAACTTTGTGAAGCTTTACTGAGGCCTTGATTTTTGTAACCGTGATGAAACAACTTCTGAGCAAGAGTCGATTCTCTCTTGAAATCTTGGAAGAAAGAGCATGCTTGATTCTTGATTGGTTATTTATATTGTAATTGAACGATATCAGATCATCGCTGTACCTGAAGCTTAAGTTACACTTCTTGGCCAAAGTATCTTGTTTTGACTTTGCCAATCCGAGGGGAACTTCCAAGTCATATGCATAAAGAAACAGATCCCTAAGAAGGGGAGCAACATTAGTGCCAATGGTGATGCCTACTCCTTGCCTTAATGTCTTCCCCCTACATTTACATAGATGTGATCAATGAGAAAGTCCAGCATTTCACATATTGTTTTCTCAGTAAACTTCAGATGGCATTTGCTTTCATTTCTCAAAATTTGTCCTGAACCTCTGAATATAGGTACGTTACTGTATCTGTGTACACCGCGTTTTGTAACAAAAGTCTGGGGATCAAAGAACGAAGTTTTTCCTTTAGTTTGTCATGTGGGATAGTGGTGTACAAAGTTGAAAAATATAATGTTTTGACAGAATGGAACTTGGTTCTTTTCTAAGATTGGAAAAAGTCAAGCAAATACTTTGGGTTTTTGAGAATCTGCTTTGTATTAATTCCACGTGTCTCAACTACGTTCTGTGAAAGTCCTCCGTTGATCATTTTAAGGATTATGGTTACTCTTTGAGACAGGGAATCCTGGACCCAGCCATATATCTCTTTGTGGAGTTTTGGGGTCCAGTACAAAAGAGGAATGGAGATGTCTTCAGGTTTTAGAGTCAAGTGAAAAACTGACAGTACTGATTTATGGTTATTGCAGATTTCTTCCTCAGTTAACATACTGGCCTTATATGTGGCCTTATTTGATATGTCATTTATACCAAGTTCTTTGATCAAGCAAGTAATGTAGTGATTCTTACTTAATGGTTATGTTATTTGAGGCCTTGTCGGTGGGAAACTACGAACTTTTCCTGTAGGACAGCCAGACTTTGGATAACAGCTGGCTGGGCCATAATGGGTTTATTCCAACTCCGTTTCCTCTTTTTAAGTTTATGCATTCTACCAATGCCAACATCACGCACTGACTTAATCCACTCTGAAAGACATTTGACAGGTTCCTCTTCTCTTTTCGCCCATTTTTGGGGCCTATTCTTCGACAGGTTGTTATTGTCAACAATAGAGAAGTCACCTGTGATTATATGACCTGCATGTTGATAGCAGGATGATGAGTCTTGGCAGCCACAAGTAGTGGAATTTACATCATGAGCTGCCAAGTCCAATATCCTATAATTGAACAACCTGGATTAAATGGTGTTCGTATAGGAAAATGAAATTGTTGGTGGTTCCTGAAATTTGAAATCCCATTACAGGTCACGTCAGAACATCCATTCCCGAACTATGACAGACCAATGAAATGACTAACAGGAAGTCAACGTTAGTCACTAAGAAAGCAGCTTTGCGTTCCAGTTTCAAACTGGCGACTTCCATTCCAGACTATGCTTCTTAAATTATTTTGAATAAATCATACATTCCGTAACAGTTGTTTTGTGTTAAGCTTTAGAGGTTGAATGATAAGAAGTATATTCCGCTTACAATGTAACATAACAATATTTTTTATTTTTTATTACGTGTTTGTATCGTTATCTATCGTGTAGTTGTCCGACTTTCGATCACGAAAGTTGATACTACTTAATTTAGTTTATCCAACATACTCGTTAATCCGACATAATCATATGCAACCAACCATGTCAAATTAACGGGACGTGACTGTATTGGGGGACATTTTCGGAAACTGATCTTTGTCTGAGCATGTTACTTAAATTTAAAGACTCCATTTAAAGGATCGATTGTTTGCAAATTTCGAATTCAAGAAATTGCGCCCTTTGTCTGACTTAATGGAGTCTGTTTCTGGTTTGGCTATACTCTCTAGTTGATACTGTAGGCTCTTACTGTTTGTAGCTCCTGCCAAACCAGGTTGTACAGCATCCACACTGTCGGGTAGGATGGTACACAACCACCCGATCGCCATAAGCCGGAGAAGCATGTGGTATTGAGCAGCTAGTCTGCTCGTTACGTTGTTAAACATACTCACTCAGTGCAAGACATATACAGCAAGCTAATCCCAGTACTGCAAAACACAACCCACAGGAGGCCGCCATGTTGGATTAAAGAGGAAGTAAATCAACCGACTCTTTTCCTCATGCATTTCTGTGTGTCATACAAACATATCTGTATTTGAAATATGATGATAGCTCTGTCACTGGATTGGACATTTAAAAAACATAATGTAACGATATGTGGCGTAGCTGATAACCAGCACATTTAACAATACTCCATAGAAGGTAGTAGAAATCTATTACCATGTGTTCACTGAAACAGATTGATAACTAAAATTGACATTCATTAAACCTCAATGCCGAGCTAAAAAATAACTAAAAATAGCTAAAAAAACTGATAGCTCTAGATGGACAATCAGTCTTTATTGAAGACACAACATTTGATATTCTGAGGGTGCCTGGGAGGTGTTCGAAAAACATTAATTGTCCCCGAAAACATAATTATTCTCCAGACTGTTGAGCGAGGTGCACGTGCGAGTGGCTCAGAAAAATGTCTATTTAAATACGATTATCAAAACTATTTTGGTTTTAAACATTTTAGATGCAATGGTTATTTAAATGTTGGCCAATAGGTGTGACCACTAAGAGCGAATGTTTAATTGTTAACTGACCATTTCACCGATTAACATATACATGTTACGGAATCTTGTGTCTGTTTTCACCCGTATGATGTGAAGATCGTGAAATACCTATGCTACAATCTGACTTACCGTCAAATGTGTCGCGGATTCGCCCCCACAAACACTCCATTGTTGGAGTTCAGTGTGAAAGATCCCCACGTGGGTCACTCATTTGCTACGCTGCAGTCATTTGCAGACTTTTACCCGTAGAGATTTCGGATATCGGTCCCCTGCAATCCATGTTTGTCGTAAGAGGCGACGAAATATATCGGGTGGTCAGGCGCACTGACTTTGTTGATTGTCATCGTATCCCATTGTGTAGATCGATGCTCGTGATGTCAATCACAGGATTGTCTGGTCCAGACTCGATTATTTACAGACCGCGGTCACTTAGCTATTGCTGCGTTAAACAACAAACAAACAAACAATACTAAGGCCCGGATCGACAGTAAAAGATGCTAGTAGTCAGAAACATTCGAGTGTTGACTTTGATATAGTTCCGATAACCCGTGTAGTACATGCCTCAGCTGTTGTGTTGGGCTCCACACACTTTGCTTCCTGTTTTGGATATAAGAACTCCTTGCCTTCACGTCCTGCTCCCATAGTTGACAAGTGTGTCAACATGAAAATGTCCAGCATTACATTTTCTATTGTATGGTTTCATGATGCCGTATTAAACACATTTTTAATCACGCTGTCAACTGGCCAGACAGGTATATTTACAGGCAGGTGTGATCAAGCTGGACGATTGTGGGATGCGCCGTAAAACAATAATCACTCACCCGAACGCATGGAAAGCTAATCATGATCAATATGTAGGATGTAGTAAAACTTCAAAACATTTACATGTGCAAACGATTGATGAAAGTGTTCATCTTGTAGTGCATTGAAGCAATGTGTCGAAATCAGCACTAGCAGTACAAGAAACACGGATGTCTACACAAAAACATTCCAATATTCAGTTAATATTTAGGTTAATCCGGAATTTCGGCAAATTATACCTATATACCCTGTCATCAGAGTGTATTAGTCGCTTGACAGTTACGTGTGTTTGCCATTGGAGCTATTGGTAGGGCAGGATATGCTGAACTTTAAGCGAACACGGTTAGGTTGGTTGGTTGGCTTGTTGTTTCACGCCGCACTCAGCAATATTCCACCTATATGACGGTGGTCTGTAAATAATCCAGTCTGGAGCAGACAATCCAGTGATTGATATCAGGAGCATCGATCCACGCAATTGGGATGGATGACATGCTTCAAACCAAGTCAGCGAGCCTGACCACCCGATCCCGTTAGTCGCTTCTTACAAGCATTGTCGCCTTTTACAGCAAGCATGGGTTGCTGAAGACCTATTCTTCCCCTAATCTAATGATAATAGGGCGGCTGGGAAACTTAATGGTTAAAGCGTTCGCTCATCATGTGTGAAGCTCATTTCTGGTGTCCCCCGCTGTGATATTGCTTGAATATTGCTAAAAGCGAGGTAAAACAATACTCACTCACTCTCACAACCAGTTTTGTCGCTTTATTTCAACTCCTTCCTTTTTCACATGATTGGGAAAACGATCTGTCAGGTAATTTTTCCCGAAGAATGTCACATCCCTTCTGCAATGACAGTTAGAGGCTACTCGTACCTTGCGACTATACAAGGGCATATATACGTACATCACACGCGCTGTTTGCGAATGAGTTTCAATCAACTTTCTTCATCAAGAAATATAATAGTATGTTTCATGCCAAGATAAGGAAATCAACAAATATGTAAAATTTAGGTTTATACACTGTAGATCTTCTGTAAAACGGTGCATGGATGTATTGTACCCGTGTCTATGTTGTGTACGATTAACTGAGTGGACGCAAAAGGAAACAAAGCTAAATTTAAATAGCTCTAAATTAGTTGACCTTTCATTTGTTTCTCTTTCTATACATTACCTGTATAGAAGGCCGAGATATATGTGGTTCATATGGTGAAAATCACGTAGGAGAAATGCGGCGTCGCTAGCAGAGTGTGCCCTGATGGATGTACTTGATATAGTTATACAGCTGATATTTAGAGAGTTACTCGCTGTAACCATAGAGTCGCTGGTTTATTAGATACTTGAATGGATCAACGCAGTTAGACAAAACTGGAGACGTTGGTCGCCAGGTCATGGCAATGTCTCGGTGAAAAGTTGTATTATAAATTAAGCAAATCATGCTGCTGATTGACTAATAAACTGTTTAACTCCAACTTCAGACTTCACTCACTCAAATACATATCAGTTTGGACGCAGCGCATAGAATGGTTCTATATTTGCTGACTGCAGCGAATAAAACCCAATTCACTGACAGTCCCCTGTACTGAATATAAGGTGAGGTGAGGTGAAATTGGGTTTAACTTATATAGCGACGTGCATGCACGTGTGTGTGTGTGTGTGGTTGCTTGTACTAGTCCGGACTGATGCCGATTTATAGTGCTAGCACAATGAGATATCATGCCGCAGTTTTACATGAATACCCCACTCAGACACAGTATACTGACTCCGAGCCGACCAGTCCTTGTTTTAGCCCTTTAATGCCGAGCGCCAGACAGGGTAACAACAAGTACCATCTTTTAACGTCTTTTGGTATGTCGCGGCCGGGGATCGAACCCCGGACCTTCCGCTCTCCGGGCGGACGCTCTACCACCAGACCACGGAGGCGGTCTACTGAATATAAGGACAATTACCATGTGTACATAGTACACCTCAGTACCTTCCTCAGTACAGAACAGTGTCGGTGTGCATATGATCTACTCTAGTCAGACATGTCGATGGTACACCTCAGTACCTTCATCAGTACAGAAGAGTGTCGGGTGTGCACATGATCTAATCTAGTCAGACATGTCGATAGAACACCTCAGTAACTTCCTCAGCACCGAAAAGTGTCGGGTGTGCATATGATCTAATCTAATCAGACATGTCGATAGTACACCTCAGTACCTTCCTCAGCACAGAACAGTGTCGGTTGTGCATAGGATCTAATCTTATCAGACATGTCGATAGTACACCTCAGTACCTTCCTCAGTACAGAACAGTGTCAGGTGAGCATATGATCTAATCTAATCAGACATGTCGATAGTACACCTCAGTTCCTTCATCAGTACAGAACAGTGTCAGGTGTGCATATGATCTAATCTAATCAGACATGTCGATAGTACACCTCAGTTCCTTCCTCAGCACAGAACAGTGTCGGGGGAGCATATGATCTAATCTAGTCAGACATGTCGATAGTACACCTAAGTTCCTTCCTCAGCACAGAACAGTGTCGGGGGTGCATATGATCTAATCTAATCAATGATGTAGGTTGTCCCCTTGTGCCTCCCTGCATGGACCTTGTGGTGTCCAAGGTAGAGTAAAATATTCACGAATCTGTATTACACAGAGTGGGTGAATAAATCTAGTTTCAGGCCGTAATTAACTGCATTACACTGCACGACTTTCAGATAAAGCTTATTGAGGAGAGTGTTCACAAATCAGAGGAAACAATTCTAGGGATGTAAGGGACAGGCCAGGCCCTTTGTATCAGCATGTGTATGGTGTATGTAGATCAGTGTTGAGAGTGTTGAGTCAGTTTGCTGACCACTGTGTTGTACATACATATCATGAAATAATAATATGCACTTTCTGAGTTTCGAATTTAGAGGTTCGCAATGTTGTTAATTTAAATTGAAACTCTACCACAGTACTTTGGGAAGGGAGGAAAGGAAAGTATTGTAAGAAGATGGTCTCGTATCAGTGAAAGTGCTTCCCCTGTGTTTCTGCTACGTAATAGGGTAAAGCTGTACAAATTCGAAAATGGCAACTATGCAATATGCACTATATAAGATCTGCTTCTGCGTGTCTACATTTAGGCTTGACGAATAACAGTTAACTTGTATTGTCTTAACGATACATATGCATTCGTTATATGTTAATCATATACATATGCTGTTACTAAATCAAACACGTTATTAATCAGCTTTGAAAATACTTGTTTGCCTGATAGTCCCCGACGGGCGGTTTTGGTCAGAGCAATTAACGTTTAACTGACAATATGATCTACGATTACTACTAAGCGACTCATTTGCAAAATCTGACTGTAGAAAAATGCTTGAAGCTTCAGCATGTACTCTCACCACTGCAGCAGTGCGTGTGTGCAGGACGCGTGTGCCGTGACAATGCGAGGCCACGAAAATGGTGTGTTGAGCTTGTTCTGACCAACTTCGTGTTACTGTGGCCGGCAGGTCATGGCTACGCATGTTGTGTCAAGTCACAGGCAGGAGGGGACAATGAGTATGTATATTGGCATATCCTGTCACAAGCACATGCAAAGGCAAGTCAACCGCACATCTGGAACAACAAGGGAACATAGGTGCAAGTACATCATTATTGCGTCAAATTTGGAAATGTCCTCAACATGTCTAGCATAAAGCTCTTTGAAAGCTTTAACGAGGCCACGAATGTTGTACCCTTGATCAAACCAAGAAGCATAATCAGGAGGAATCTGGGTTTCCAACTATCATAGGGATATTCACGAAACTCATTTGGGACAAGTGGAATTAATACCATGTGAATTCTCAAACTCTGAAAGGATTTGCTTGCATTTTTGTTCTGAATATTTGATTTCTCATCTTAGTACACGCTACGCACACGGCAAACTCAAGGAAAAACTTCAATTCTGATCCAATCTTTAAAGGCTCAGGATAAAATGTAAAAAATGAGAACAAATGTCATGAAGATTACTGAGAAAACAATATTTGAAATGCAGAAACTTTTAATAGATAACATTCAAGTGAAATACATGTATCGGCAATAGGTAGGCATGTCCGAGGGCACCAACTGTGCCCGCTCTTCCAACCCACTTGCTGATCTGTTTATGTTTACGGAATAGGATTGGCAAAATCAAAACGGTTGGCCAAGAAGTTTTATTTAAACTTCTCGTATATCGATGTATATCAATGAACTATTGACTTGCCTTTGTGTGTGGCGAGTGCCAAGGATGGTGCAGGGTACGCTTACCTTTTCGCGAACACATCTGGTATCATTACTATTTATTAGTGATTCATAAACACATGGTACAATCGACTCTGCTTTTAGAATATGGATAATTTGACTTATTCAATCTTATAAAACGCACATCCTTGTTTCAGCTACATTGGAATACAAAACACTTCCTTTCATCCCAAATCCATCAACAGTGTGTACACGCTGTTACAGTAAACAATACGAGGAAGCAGATATGACAAACAGCTATACACATTTTGGGCTTTAGGGTGTCATTGGTACTCTTTTCCAGAGAGACTTTTCAGTAACGACTAACGACACATACTTTCATTTTATAACACATCACAACTAACCCAATTTGAATTTAAAGGATTTTATTGACGAAGCATAATGAAGCATGCTATATAATTTTACTTTACAATTATGTGTAAATAATTAATACAGACAATAGTATACTAACATGGCTAATCTTGAACAACATTTACGGTGTTTCTTGTAAAACTTCCAAACATGTACGTGTCAAACGAGTAATGCAAATGATTGTCCTTTTGTGGATTCAGGAGATAAACCTACTGTGTGTTGAAATTTGATGTCGTCCCAGTGTAAAGTAGATACCTCTTACTAATTTGCAACCGAGCGCTGAAGTAGGTTTATCTCCATTCTACCATGACGGCAACAGCGCTTTGAAAACGGTTCTCTCTTGCATTGAAAAACTACACAGGATACAAAAGTCTGCTGTCTTAGAACATTCTGAAAAGGGTTCCCAGGTAGTTATATATGTAACAAATATTTGTAAAGTTCAACATTAAAAGACCCATAGTCACGAGTAGTTCAAATAAGTGTTTTTTGAAAGGATGTTGACAAATAACCTCCCAAACAAAGTCCGAAGATAGATGTTTTAGTTTCATCGCAATCTGCTGTGCACTGTTTGGACTCTCAAAAGTCATTTCTTGGAAATCGAATATGGAATTTCCCATTCTTTGGGTTACAGGATGTAGAAATAGTTTTACAAATGCTGAACGATAATATTTCTCAAACAAACTTTATGAATTAACATTCTGCTATACATTTACATGTGTAAGTTAATTAACAGTTATCCCGAATAAATAAATTTAAAAAAATACATGCCTCTCCACTCCGAATTTGAATGTTCCAGAACTTGACTTATTCAATCATGGTTACTCACACCTCACAACTGTCAATGGCTGCCAATTTGGTTGTTTATATTTTCCGTGCTTCAGACAAATTACAAGAAGCAGGATGACAACCCCAATCTATGATGTGGTTCAACATTAACCTGTAGATTTACAGGGATTGAGCCTGCTGGTACAATACGATTGCCAATTGAACTGAAGTATGACTGAACAGCCGCTTTTGAGGCTGCTGACGAGCCGGCATTGTACGATGCGAGGGATTGCATGGTTTGTGACCTGTCAGTTTCAAGATTTCACGGTAATTCGACGCCAGTATGTCAAAGGCCCCGAGACAGTGTTTTGTGTATGTTTCGCTTATTGTGCATGTACAGAAATGAATTTCATCATGTTTGACAAGGTGCTGATCAAGTCCCTGTGCTGTGACTTGATGACAGTGATGTCGGGACATTTGTTATTTGTTTACAAGTCAGTTTTCGTGGCTTTCGAAGGGAGGTGTGTCTTCTGAAGGACTTTCAAACTCCCTCATGCCAGTTCCTAACGTTGGTGGTTGATGGTGATGGCAATAAATATCGATCACAAAAAAGGTTTGTAAACATGTTGTCATGAATATAAAAAAAAATATAATGTTTTATTTTACTTTCATTATCATCTGTTTCAATTGGGGAAATTACCTGTTCGCCACCAAACATATCCCTAACAGTTTCATAAACGTCATTATTTGTATGCAAAAGGTAAAGTTTTAGTTGCTATATCTGAATCTCAACATCGAGGTCGGGGCTACCGCTACCACCTAGAACGTCAAAATCGTTCGATGCCACACTTCCCCTATTTCTTCTATTAAACACGGTGGGCCGCCTTTTCATTTCGCGGGAGACGTTGATTGTATTAGAGACCCAGCGTCTATCAGAGAAAATATCAGTATACAGTTCGTATCGGTGATCGACAGCCATTTTTGTATGACTCGATATGATTGTAGGTTATCGATGTATTCATACGCGCAAAGGAAACCTCTTTTTAACCGACCATATGCCATGGTGGAATGTATCTTGAACTCAGGACACATTTACTCTCAGAAAAATTCTGAATCACCCAGAAACGTATATGGTGTAAAGATATGAATGAACATAGTTGCACAAAACGATGCATCAATATAAGCACGAGCAGTACAAGAAACATGGATGTCAACACAAAATCATTCTTATACTCAGTGAATATTCAGGCTAATCCACAAAAGTGAGTTTACTCATAAAAGTGTCCGGAACTTAGGCAGGTTATACCCGAATACGCGATCAACAGAGAGTAGTGGTCAGTTGACAGGAATTTTTGTTTGTGACAGGACAAATTTCTGCGACCACCTGCTATGATCTCTCTTTGATACTTTCATACCCACATGCTCATGATACAATGGGAATCGTACAATGGACTCTAGTGGTTATTTCAACTCCTGCCTATATGTCACGTGCCAGGTATTATTACAATGTATGTATATCATTTTGCGAATGAGTTTGCAATGAACTTTCTTTTTCAAGAAAAAAAATAGTATGCAAAGATAAGGAAACCAACAAGTCGTAAAAATGAGATTAGAATAGGAGTGAGAGTATTACAACCTTCTATATACACGCATGCATGGTATATCTGTGTTGCCTATATCTAAATGAGTGGACGCAATAGGAAACATAGCTAAATGTGAATAGGTCTGTGTAAAATGGAGCTATTTTATCTGACCTATTGTGTGTGCATGTACAGCTAGGGCATGGGTTGTTTCTCTTTCCAACCATGTTAGAAAGTAAATGTAGTTAAAGTAACTGATAAAAAAATAAACAAGTTTTCAGAAAAAGTTCCGGTTACAGCTACGTATGGAAGCGTCAGTAAGGATTCAAAGAGACCCAAGGCGTTGTTTTGAAAATTCAAGGCAGAAACAGACATCAGTCTGAAATGAAAGTAAAAACTGTGTCACACATATCATATATGTATTTATATGAACATTAAATGATACAGTGTCGGTAATGTAATGTATCGCCTGACTATTTCCGGGAAAATAGATGCTTTACTTTCTCTCAAGTTAACAACTGCCTTGCTTTCAGACAGATATTTCTTATGAATAATGAAGGGTTTTTTTAAGCTGTTCTTTTAATTATGTAGCGTCAGTTTGCCATACCAGAGTGAAGGGACGTCCCCCGAGACGCGTGTAAAGACGTCGCATATTGGTGATGATGTCTACCTTCCCGTCGTCCTGAATTCTGCTGGCGATGTTGAGAAGCAGCACCAGAAGCCTTGTCTCGGTCATGGAGCTTAAATTGGAGACAATGATAGGTTGGTTCAAGTTGCATAACTAATGTGTCTAGTATAAACGCAGGTTAATAGTATGGCGTTGTGTTTGCTGTATCTATGCTGACAGGGTTACATCACTGTTTCTATCCCACATGACACATTTACGGAAAAAATCCTTCTTTGAACCATAGGACATTGTTTCTAAACGCGGTGTCCATAGATGTAGTTGCATCTCCATTTTCAAAGGTTCAGGACAATTTGTCAAAAGCGAAAGCAGACACGAACGTTTAGGCAAAAAGTAGGCGTCCCCCATGGGCACCAGGTGTGCTCCAATCCTTGCTGATCTGTGTCGTTATGAATGTGAATTGGAATATCTGATGGGATGGGTTAAATTAAAAGACATGGGAATTTCGCCAAGACGTTTAAGTCAAAGAACCGATTCTCTAGAAAAAGTAGAAATAAAAGACACAGTGAAACTGCCTCATCTCTTTTCATATTTACATGAACATCCAGAGTGACAAAAACCTGTCCACAAGACTGTATGATAAGAAGATGACTTCAACTTTCCAATCGTCAATTTTTCCTTCATGTCGAACACATGGTAACAAGCTATTTGATGGTGACTTGTAGCCTTATGCTTATGATATACTTGTACCCGGAATCGTACAATCGACTCATTTTCATAACAAGGAAAAGGGTATTGTGGCTTTTCTGAAACATGAAAAGATAAAATACCGTGAAACGATTGTACAAGGATGTCGATGTAGTGCAAGCAAGGAGTCGATCAAAGCCATCCCACTGTGATCTCGAACACTTCCTGTCAAGTGGTGATGCTGAACAGTGAAAGTTGCATTGTCCTCCTGTAGTGACAACAGTGTACAGATCAACTACACACACAGGAAGAACATACACACATGCTTAAGGAATTCCAGAATAATTTATAGTTTTGTTTGTTCGGTGGTATGTAGAAATCAATAGCAACGTAGGTATACAAAACAAATCATAAGACTTTAAAATAAAACTTATGATCAACTGTGTCTTAGTGTAACTTCTATTTTGCTCAAGAAAAGGATTACTTTTGAAACGAGATCAATGGTGTCGACGTTTACGTCATCCATTATGATAGTGCGACTGCGCATGCTTGCTGTGAGTCTTGATGTTGTGACAGAGGATTCTGTTGATGGAAGGTATGTCTGCAACAGAAACAGTTCATGAATGCGTATTGTTATCTTTGTGTTCATCTTTGTTTGTTTGGAACGCGAAACACGAACTACAATCTTCCTTTTGTACCTGATTGTCCTGTGCCCACGTGACCAGACTGCGAGACCTAGTCTTGTAAATTTGATTCCAAACTTCCTCTTTGTCCGGAAGTGACGTCAAGACGTAGAACCCATTTGTGGATACATGTGACTGACAACACAAACATAATACGATAAATTATCTTTGGTTAATTACAATGTTGACATTTCACATTGAATCCATAACTGTAGTCACTGCCTGCACGACATCTGCATTGAATGGAGTAAGCATAACCAATGCGTTCGTTTGTCTAATAATCCCCCACCCTATAAAAACATAACCGTCATAAACCAACAGACAGAAGCGAGTGCAGACCCAGAAAAAGAAAAAAACACATTTTGTTTTACTAGTATTTACTTACAGGCATTGAAACAATGATGTCAATCTCAGTATTTTCTGGAATAGACAATATTTCATATTTACTAATCTTGGTCGCAATTGTGCCTTCAATATTACTCTTGTTATAAATGATCAACAATTATTTGATGAGCAGAAATTAGAAGATCTAACAGTGAATAATTAATATTAGTGCGGAACCTTGTCTTCGAACACTTTACAAACCATAACAGTTATAAGGGTAAGGTTTTAACAGATAATGTCATCCATTACAAAGTATCTTCCGCTATTTAGAAAAGATACCAAAACACTGTGCTTATTTAAAATTGTCCTATGGTCGCGGGTGGGGGTGGTGGTATATGTTTTTTCAGGAAACACAGGACATCGTTTCCTTGTTATATTATCATCTACTCACGGGCAGGAGTACACTGAAGCACCTGGAACAGACACAATCTGGGCATGAGGAAATATACTTTTCTTTCCTTGCAAATGTTCAAAACGGCTGCATTACATATTGAAGAGAGGTTTCTTTTCAACCCCTGACGATTAAAATCTTTCATGAATATCAACTCTTGTACAGTATTAACAAACAACATACTTATATATACTCACACGCAAAAGAAACGCAAGTGGTTTTTAGCAAATGGTAACAAATACGGAATCATAAATTATCAAATTGGTGTTATCAATATTTTTGGTTGCATTTTGGAAGCCCCGAGTAAAAACGCACCATAAAAAACGAATCGCCTAAACGCACCATTCAATGAATATGTGGGTATCATGCACCCATTTCTCGCGAAATCTGAAATGCACGAACTGTCACGAACTGTAGTGAGTATAAAACTGTGGCCGATTCTTGGACCTACCACTCCTTGGTCAACAAGGCCACGCCTAACTAAAATTCAGAGAAACCAGGCTATCGGACGTTTGGAAGCTGTAGAGTCTGTTCAAGATGTTGCCCGTCATTTCAACGTTAACATAACCACAATTTACCGTCTCCTGCATCGATACAATGCTACACAGACCACAGATGACCTTCCTCGGAGCGGTCGTCCTAGGGCCACCACACCTCGACAAGATCGGCAGATTTCCCGTCAACACCAGCGACATCCGTTCCTAACTGTAAGTGCAAGTGCTCGACAGACCATAGGAACACATAATCAACACATTAGCCGGGACGCTGTGATCCGACGTCTCCGTTCCAACAACCTCAGATGTCGCCGACCAGCACGTCGTCCTGTTCTCCAACAACGGCATCGACAAGCACGACTTCAGTGGGCACAGGGTCATCACAATGGGCGTCATCGTGAGTGGACCTAGCGTCATGATATGGGCAGGGATTGGACTTATTTCGAGACTTGGACCCATGTGCTTTCTGAATGTTGGTCAAGGTCGGGGACACGGCGTCACTGCTCAGCGGTATATCGACCAAGTGATCAGACCCCACGTTGTTCCATTTTTTGCACAACATCAACAACACATTTTCTAGAAGGACAACGCTCGTCCCCATGTTGCCAGAGCTACCATGGCCTTTCTGCAACAACACAACATCCGTGTTCTACCGTGGCCAGCCCTCAGCCCTGATCTGAACCCCATCAAACACTTGTGGGATGAGGTTCAAAGGCGTCTGCACAATGTGCGCCCAGTCCCTACAACTGCCGATGTGTGCAGGAGGATCCCTAGGGACTTCACAAATCGTCTGATGTACTCAATGTACAGGAGATGTGTGGCAGTGATCAATGCTAATGGTGGTCACATCAGGTATTGACTGACATTTTGGGTATTGACCCGAAACTGTGTAAGCCCTTAACATTTGAAAAAAAACAATTATGTAATCTGCCTTTTAATCCATTAATCTGTCTTCAGACAAATTGTTGTCAATCTTGCCCTAATACTATTTCTTGTCTTTATTACCTCAAGATGTTGTTGCACAGTCTTGTTTCCCATCGTGAGGTTAGCAAGGGGGCCAAGATCCACTCCCTTCAGCGTACGGGAGTCCAGAGTCATGTCTCCGTCTGCCGCCGCCCTCGCCACCGCCTGGTACACGAACAGGTACTGATCCTGTTGGTAAGATTCATCAGCGCTAGACTGAATGTGAACTTGTCAAATAAATATGGTGTTTATATCTCATTATAGCTCATCGGAGGATTTCGGGTGCAGGCAGGGGACACTTTTTTGACATTTTTGTTGACGTATGTTCAATCAAAGTTAACACAATTTACGGATAACAACTTGTTTAATACCGTAAAGGCGACGTTCGGTAAAGATTGTCAAGCAAGACTGACGGTATAAGGATCTTGACCGAAACGTCGTCTTTACAGTATTAAAGAAGTTGTTATCCATAAATTGTGTCTACTTTGTCATCCGTCAACTTCTAAGTAATCAAACAAGATATACATAATCGTCTTCAAGCTCCTCAGCTACACGGCGTCGCGTAATGTGTATTAACATTGACTAAAGATGTATGTGATGCTCTCAACCTGAACATAAATATAACGATTATCTCACGAAACTGTTTCCGTTGGGCGTTTAAGGTAAAATAGAGGTGAAATTTAAATGAATGCGTCACTGATGAGACCAGCAAATTATTATATCATATTATATTATTCATTCTTGTAAATATTTACAACATTAACAGGTGATACAAAGATCTTTCTGTTCATCCGTTTAACCTATCACACATGTGCATTCAACACTAACTTTTGATTGTATCATGCCTTTCCTCTGACTTCTCGAGTTGGAGACGAAGCTGACAACGTCCACAACGCCCTCTGTTGTAGCCTGCTCCACGAGACTATCAATAGCGATGTACGTGCCTGTCTGGCCAATGCCGGCGCTGATTGAGGATGATACAAACAGTATAGATACACATGCTACGTGAACACGACATGTCAAAATAGTAATATTCACTGAAAATTGACACGTTGCTTACACCAAAAGTTATTTTATCAAAACAACTCTCTCAAATTGAAATGTGTTCAGAAATACCGCTTGGTTGCTACGAATTAGGACTACCATTCGTCAACACGCACCTGCAGTGAACGGTGATTGGATGCTTTTGTTTTCCAGCTAGTTCCTTGATCTTCCACCTGAACTCCAAGAATGCATACATATCTGGAACACTACGATCCAGCCAGGTTGTAAAATGGAAATGACGCACGTGTCGCTTCGTTGTCTTCTAAATAATACAATATTGATATACTATGCGTTAGACGTTCAACATTGTTGTCAGGTGGTATAAAGCTGATGTGCCAGATTCGAAACAGTACTCTTAACTTATAAGAGTTCAGGCAAGGCAATGCTTCTAAATAAAGGCATGTATACCTTCTTGTGTTGCACAGTCAGCATTGCGAGTGTGTAGTTTGCAAGACATGTTTCTGTCTCCATGGTTACCGTGATGTCACCGTATGAGACCTGGTCTTTTTCCGGCCAGTAACGAAGACAATTCATCTGCAATAGAACAGTACCAATGATATGTTTCTACGTGTAAAATGCTCTAAAAGCCGCAAGGATAATATTTTGCAGATAAGCGCAGGTATCCATGTTTGTAACGTGAGCTACTGCAACGTCACAATATCAGCTGTAGTCCATGTGTATGACGTCATGGTTTAAAGGTTTGTATGACGTCACGGGTAAATGTGCAAAGGGAGCGTTGGGCATCCAACACAACAGGTGTAAAGCCACCCGGTGTTTGTTATCAACTCAATACCAAGAAGACATGAAACAATGTTAACTTAGTGTTCGTCTACGCAGAGAAAGCATCTCCATTTAAGGGTCACGTGTTTTGTGATCATGAATTACAATCTCAGATTTGCCTTGATAAAGATTCTTGGTTTATCAGCATTATATCCATTCTCCTGGGTTTCGCCAAACTGGTGAACATCTGTATATGCAGATTCTACCATGACCTTGTAAACGCCTCGACTTAAAACAGACAAATTGAGACGTTTCAAATCACACTAAAAAATCTGACTGAAACAGCTGATTGGACGCCCGCATCACCATAAATATAATATTTATTCAAAAAGAATACTAACTCATTTTTGGTAAGCATTTTAAAATATTGATATTTTCATTTTTAATGAAACACAATGCAGAAAAGGACAACAATCAACATATGTGCGGCAAAATATTCTGGGCATGACACACCACAGCAATCGACAAGGGGAATGTATTTTCAAAGCTTTGCATTTTGCACCCAGTGGAATCTGTTTTGGCAGATAAACGAAAATGGTTACTCTTTTGCGTTGACGTTATATATTTTATGAACTTATTTAATATTACAAACGTATTAGTTTGGCTAACTACTATCACGTCTATTCGTACCTTGCCCCCTTCCTCGAGTCCCGTCACCATGACGATCGTAGTGCATCCTTCCTGCCAGATCATCCTCCAGAAATCCTCAACAACATCAGGCTTGTAGGGCCCTTAATATACAATGTGTCACGCGTAGCTGTTATCTAGTCAGTAACGATCAAATACTGATTCGGCAAATCAGTAAAGAAGTTTGTTTAAAGTTTGTACCAGCGGCAAAGCCGTATATAGAATAAAGGAATGTTGGTATGTATTAGAATACTCTGGTGAAAAGAAAGCAGTTTTAACAATAGGTCATATGTGAAGAATAAGTATAGGTATTCCATAGTTCTTCTATTAAATGTCAATATTATTATATGTCATACCTTGTGCAGCGATGTATTTCCTCTCAGTCTTGTAGCCCTTAAACAATGTCAGCAGGAAAGGTGAAAGTGTTTGAATCATAATAATCCCTAACAATCGTTAAGTAACTATACCAGTATTGCAGCAGATAAAATGTTAACATCAAAACGAAGAGTTTCTATATTCTCTTCTTACAACTATTTAATTATGTCATGCCACTAACGCAGATAAATAATCGTCACTCACGTCCATGTAGCTGGCATTGATGTAGTTGCTGGTCTGGCCATCGTTTAACACCACCCGGTTGTAGTCATCTAAGACAAAGAACAACTGTTCATGTCTCAGTTTGTGTTTGTGTTTGTGTATAAGTGTATGTCTAGATTCAAGTTAAACTTACATGGGTAGTAGGATTTAAATCTGTTTTTCCCTTTGTTTTGTGGTAGCTGGGAGTCGTTGTAACAGTGCATGAAGCCATCTGGCAAATTCTGAAAATAAATGAGACAAAAACCGGAGTGTGTCATGTGTGTCGGCCTATATCACTGCCATGTGTTTACGAGTCATTACCAAATAAAGAGTATAGTGTTCGACAAGAAAGCTGATAATCACATTATAACAACAGAAGCTGTTTGGTCTTGAATACTGACCTTAAATTCCTCCTCTGCTTCTCTAGGATGTTCCTCCAGTTGACGTACAAAGTCCTCCAGATCTGACACTTGAATCATTCGACCGATGCAAGGGCTATGGCGGGTAGGATAGTTCTCATAGGGATGACCACTCTCTCTCAACAGGCCGTGAATAGGGTCAGTGTTGCCCTCCTCTTTGGAAATAGTCTCATACACAGAAGTTTCTGTAATCGTGCGTCCACCCGATTTGTGATTTACTCCTTCCAAATTCACATATGTTAGGCCTGGAACTGATCCATGTTCGCCCTCATCTCCAAGCCGCTCATAAACACTCTCTGAAAGAACATATAATCCTATCTAAATAGATTGCTGAAGGAATATTTCTCACCTGTAGACACAATGTTTTCCTTCATTTGCAAGGCACGGGTGTCCTAGTCGTCTGAGGCGCAGGAATGCGCCGTGCACAGTTGCGTCCCTTAGACACGCCGGAAACCTATGACTGAGGGTTCGAATCCCGGTTCATCCCGAATATGTTCCCAGGTTTCTCAGCATCATATCCGTGCTCGTGGCAAACTTCTAAGACCTGCATCATGACGGGTTTATTTCCACATTAAGTTGAGTTGCTGTGATATCGCTGGAAAAATGCTTAAAGCTGCGTTAACGCAACTCACTCACTCACCCACTAACATTTCATTTGCAATGAAGTAAAATCACATTGGAATACGTTAACAACATTTACAGAACTAAACGTATTTTCGAAATGTATACCCTGCGTTGACTCGTGTTTGAATTCAGGTTGACACAGTTGTGAATAGTGCAAGTCAGCCCCACTTGATGGTCTCACTGCAAATAAACCGAAGTCAATTTCATATTTTATCATATTTTAAAGTATGAAGTACTGTATTCATTGATTACAATGTAAACCATATCAATAACTTTTGGTCCGTATTACAGTAGTAGTAGTAGTAGTAGTAGTAGTAGTAGTAGTAGTAGTAGTAGTAGTAGTAGTAGTAGATGGAATTGAAAGAAGCAGCAATGGATTCAAACGCAAATGACATACACTTTTAAGGTTTTCTTATAAGAGCCAAGGATTTGAGACATAATCTTAATGTCAGTGTTGATTTTGGTGATGGATGGTACAGAAATGAGTGTCAACCAAGCGAAGTGACATATCAAGTGACTCAGTTTTTCAAGGAGAAGCTTTCTAAACGATCACTGCATCGAGTTTATGTGCAGTGTGTTGAGAAAATCAGCAACCTTGTAGAGGCCTTCGCTTGAATGAAGTAGGCTGGCATGGTTTTCTGTTTGTTGCTTAGGACCAGTCATTCCCACACGATGCCGTCAATGTGTGATTTTGTATTAAATGTAAATATGAAATGTAGGTTATGCAATGAATTTAATGAGACTGTACAACACAGTGTCAGTGGATGCCCATCTTTGCCACAAACACAGTATCTTAAGCGACATGATAAAGTTTCTCGAACGTTTTATTGCCATCTTTTCAATGCTTGTGGTATTGACACAGAGGTCCATCCATGGTACGACCCAGAATATGTAGAGGGTGTTATGGAAAATTCTTTTGAATAGGCCCGTATACAGCCTCAGACCTATCGAGGCCAACAAACCTGATCTTGTCCGTTTGGATAAATCCAATGAAATAATTTATATCACATACACTTGAGTAACCCTCAGAACGCTCAACACCACACTCAAAGAATATCAGACCTCTATCAACAACTAGACCTGAAATCAGCTATTTCCGAGCACATCCTCAAGCACCAAGGCCATAACATCATGTGGGAAGCCACCAAAGTCCTGTCTACCAACAACTGGCGACAAAGAAAACTACAAGAAGCTGTTGACATCAGGAGACACCAGCCAGCCATGAACAGTAATCAGGGAATTTATCTGCCCAGTGCTTAGGATTTATTGCATTAATCCTTGTCAATGGTAATTATCTAGCTGGCTTCCATTTGTGTATTGTCATTTCCATTCTATTACCTATCAGTGTTAATCATCCCAGGCCTCCCGTTTGCCCATTGTCCATTGCCTATTAGGAGTGTTGGCGCTCCTTTTGTCAATTGCTTATCACATATAAGCGCGAATTATCTATTGGCTCCCCTTGTTAAGTTTCCACCTTTGTTATCTGATTGCTTTTGTTGCTCTTACAGGTACAAAGTGATGTTCTATGCATCATATCATTTATTCACCTGATAAAGGAGTAAGTATATACTCCGAAACATTACATCCATAGATTCTCTTCCTTATGTGTATCATTTCTCAACACCTTTCAAAAATTTGATGTGAATGCATAGTTTTACACAAGCATCCCATTAATGGAATGGATTAAAACATCTAGCAATTTCTTAAATCGTTTCGCAAAAAAACGTAATGCTCATTCATTAAAAAAGAAATGTGAAGATGATTTAAATGTAATTCATATGTTTGTTATTGTGATTATTTCATTTTCTACCAGAGATAGCATTTTATAATGTTGTTTCATACTTGTACAAAATAGTCACATGTTCCGATGGTGCTCTTTTGATTGAACCATAAAGCATGTTGAGGCCCATGTCATTCCAACAGATAATGCTGAACTGTTTCAGATGAATTATCGACACATTGGTCACATAGAGGGGATACCTCCTTGTAAATACTCCTGCAGGCATTCAATACACAATGACCAAGACGAGGTATAGTCAACAACTTCATCACGCCTCGTACGATGACAAACTTTACAGATGTGTTTAACTGTTGGGCAAAGTGTGTGCATATGTCGTCCCACAAATCTTGGCACGTTATGGAGACCGACTTTGAAATGGAATAATCGAAATACTTTTTGGAAGGCCAGAATTCAGAGTATTTACTTCATCATTGTGAACCATTTCGCGAATTTATATTAGTTGTATTTGACCGAAATATTTCGTTTTGACTGAATTTCATAACGCTTTGACATGTGAACAGGCTGATTCTTTACAAATGCAACGTATCATAGAATAGAGTAGCTTCCCGTTAACAGTAGTTAGCTGGCCTATTGATTGTCGCAAAAGATATTGACTGACGAAGTTATCTTTTAGCTTTATGACATTGTCTTGAAAACATGTATAGACAGTTGAATTTTGCCTATTCAGTAGCAAAACCACTGTCGGATATAAAAACCAAACCATATTACCCGTTGTCACTGTCTGATACTTGATATTACCATAGCAAAACACAAGTATATATCTCATAATTAAACGTATTATCTAAAATAACAGACAGTTGCAAGTGTATATGTACATTGATAGGAAACTCAGCACTGACCTGAACCCGACCTACAGATCACTGTGCCAGGTGCACGTTGACTTACCTTCAGAGTTGTGTACGGTTTGCTGTGCAGACTCCTCTGCTGTACGTTTCCTACTTTTTCTGAAATAGATTGATTCTCATTTTTCCGGGACCTAACAAGAAATCACAGGGCAAGAGAGGATGGCCTGTTGTCAGCGTCGCACAATGTGAATATGCAGGCCAAGTCACGTGAATTACGAATGGAGATTTATCAAATCTAGGTATAGATGTTGATAAATGTTAAATTGAAAATATTTATAATTTCAAAACAGTCAGACACTACTTAAATATAGGAGAATAAATAAAAGCAACAAAACCATTTCAGGGGGTGAACTATAAGCGACACAACACTTGATAGGAGGGATTCGCGAATATTTAGAAAACTGACCTGATTCGGACGATGATGAGAACAATCAGCATGGCTATCGGTACTATGGCAACTAAACCTGCTGCTAGAGGTATCACAGCCACAGAGGTCGAGGCAGCTGGAACACACAATGGAATTATTTACCATTAGTTATTATCTGATGTTTTGGGCCCATTTAAGAAAAGATGAACTTGTTTGTTGTTTTCAAGAAAGCAGGTACATACATCATAAATCTATAGAGAGAGTGTCTAAGTTGAGTACCTACAGACAGACAATGTAGTGACAGTCTCTTCTCGATTGTCCAACTGCAACAACTAGCACTGTAGATAGATGCAATGGCTGAGCAGTTGCATCCCAAAGTGGGAGAGATATGACAATCAATATTAAGAGAAAAGGTACAGATAATCGACGTGCAAGGAATATGCGGGACCCCCACCCCCACCACCCCACCCCCTGTATAAGATGGACTTGTCCGACATTGCCGAGGTCGGATTCTACGGGTAGGTATTTTTAAAGATTATATATTTTATCGACATCCTTAAAGAGGCTGGATATAATACTGATATCTCATAATATGAAATAAACGTCGTTGTTTATCGAACTATAACACAATTAACAGCACAAGTTCACCTCGAAAAGCTGTTTTCTATCAATTTTTAATTCATTTTAATTCTTTTAAAATGGCAGATTGAAACATTTCGGCAAGATAAATTCGTTGTAGCAGTATCACTCGGGATATATGTGGTTTTATGCGTCCCTTGACAGGTTTTATACCACTTGCCTCCGGCTCGTTGAATGCAACCTAGCTTGGGACACATAACACATCATATACCGCTAGTGAGTGAGTGAGTGAGTATGGTTTTACGCCGCTTTTAGCAATATTCCACCAATATCACGGCGGGGGACACCAGAAATTGGCTTCACACACTGTACCCATGTCGGGAATCGAACCCGGGTCTTCGGCGTGACGAGCGAACGCTTTAACCACTAGGCTACCCGACCGCCCCTACAACGCTAGTGATATTGCTGCAACTTCTAACACAGGAGAAACAAATATGCATAATACCATAATATGTCTTATGTCAAGTAAATTCTGAACGGGTAGGGAAAGAATCAAGTTTTGGTTGCTGTCCCTTCAAATACACCATCACGATTCTATAGCCCCCTCCACAGTTTTGTACTTCCGCCTGATTCTGTCCACGCGAATGATATCTGTAAACGCAATTTCTTCTCTTTAAGATTCGTGTACCGAATATCAATCTTAAGTACTTAAAGTTGCGCCTCCGATATTTCAAGAGGAAGCACAAATTGTTGCACACCAACTGATTTGAGTTCCTGTCTGTTTTCTACTGCAACGTAAGTGTGTGGTATTTTATTCTTGGCTGAACTGTGTGATTGATGGAATGTATTCCATCGTTTCATCTGAAAAGCATGTACATACAAAACATACCTTGTGTGCAGTCATCACCCGTCCAACCCACGAGACATCCACCGTCACATGACCCGTTGTAGCGGTCACATGATGAGTTGGTGCCAGCACACTTCCTCCCGATACATGTTTTCTTACAGTCGACACCATAGTTGCCGCCATCGCATTCTGACATAAAGTGGGTAAACATTCCGTTTTTGAGTAGAGAGAGAGAGAGAGAGAGAGAGAGAGAGAGAGAGAGAGAGAGAGATTCTTTATTTCCTCCAGAAGTTAATCCGAAGATTATACATAATTAATCAAACGTATTCACACAAACTCATATTACCTGTACATAAACTAGTGTCCAAAAGAAACGATACCAACTTATTTTCAAAATTGTTTTTTACTAAGTGAATTGTCAAGTATGAAAACATGCCAATTCGTATTGCACATCCCAAACACAGCATAGTCGATAAAAAATACCGGGAACACGTGATCACTTCCGGGAAAAAACGTAAATTTCGTGAAAGTGACATTTCCCTCTCTAGCATGTTCTGCACGTGCAGAAAAACTGTATAAAACGGCTGATCAGACACGTTGATATCACAGCAACAAAAAGAACACAAGATGTGCCACGTTTGACAGCCATCGAGAGAGAGAGAGCCGTTGGAATGGTCCAACAAGGAGCGTCACACGTCGACGTCGCCAGAAGGTTGGGCTGCGCACGCATCACTATCACCAGGTTGATGCGGCGGTTACGTCAGACAGGTCAGACGTCAGACAGGCCCAGGAGTGGAAGACCACGAGTAACCACGCCCCGTGAAGATCGTTACATCCGGGTATTACACCTGAGGAACCGCACCGTAACAGCGACGTCCACGGCGGCTACAGCAGTGGGACACAGGATCAGTCGACAGACCGTCTACAGGAGACTACGGCAGTATGGTATCCGGCCACGTCATCCCTACCGCGGACCGCTCCTGACGCCTCGACACCGGAACAACAGACTGATCTGGGCCAGGCGAGTTCGACGTTGGCAACGGCGGGACTTGGCACGTGTTATGTTCTCTGATCAGAGCAGATTCTTCATCTTCAGAAACGATGGACGGCAGCTTGTATACCGACGATTTGGTGAACGTTTGGCGCCTAACTGTATCCAACAGGTCCGGCCGTTTGGAGATGGAGGGTTAATGGTTTGGGGTGGCATATGTGGTGACGTCAAAACGATGCTTGTCGTAATTCGTGGAAACCTGAATGCACAGCGTTATCTTGATGACATCCTACGGCCTGTTGTGGTGCCCTTTATTCAGCAACAGCCTCGTGGACTCCTTTTCCAACATGACAATGCAAGGCCACACACAGCAAGATTGACACAGAACTTCCTTGCCAACCCCAACGTACAGGTTTTGCCATGGCCCGCATGTTCACCGGACATGAATCCCATCGAGCACTTATGGGACCACCTCGATCGGCAAATCCGACGTCGCCGTATGCCTCCAGTCAACGTCCAGGACTTGGAACGATGTCTCCTCGAGGAATGGCAACGCATCACTCCCAACGTCATCAGACGTTTGACGTCATCAGTCCGTAGGCGTGTTCTGGCATGTATTGATGCTCACTGTGGACATACCCGCTACTGACTTGACTTTGAGACGTGTGGTGTGACATTTCCTGTTGTTTCTGTGATCAGTGCTCTAACGAAATGTTCATTTTTCGACCCCACCCATCTTTAAAGGCTTGTCATATTGGTTGTACAGATTTTATTGAAATGACATTTTTGTACAGATGTTGTGAAAGGATTTCTCAAAAGCATAACACCAATCCTAAACTTCTGCATTGTTTAGTTTTTCTTTTATGTCGTTGCAAACCGGTGGTATCGTTTCTTTTGGACACTAGTTTATATACAATACAAGACAGTAGCACCAGTGCCATGCCATTCACACAGTCCACAAGGTTACATCAGATGACATAATCAAGGTAAGGCTTTAGTGTAAGTACATAAGCAGAAAATATCAGTATAACAGATTCCCATGTAACAATATATCAATACATTGTGAGAAGTGAGTATCAGCACCAAAGAAAAATGACAACATAGCTTCTTCATCTTGTAATTCCAACTGGAAATAGGTTTAAACATCAAGCAGATCAAGCGCGAAATCGCGTTTAGTATTTTAAATGACATTAATGTTACATTAATTGTACACCGCTAGTGATATTGCTACAACTTCTAACACTGGAGAAACAAATATGCATAATACCATAATATGTCTCATGTCAAGTAAATTCTGAACGGGTAGAGAAAAAATTAAGTTTTGTTAGCTGTCCCTTCAAATACACCATCACGATTCTATAGCCCCCTCCACAGTTTTATACTTCCGCCTGATTCTGTCCACGCGAATGATATCTGTAAACGCAATTTCTTCTCTTTAAGATTCGTGTACCGAATATCAATCTTAAGTACTTAATGTTGCGTCTCCGATATTTCAAGAGGAAGCACAAATTGTTGCACACCAACTGATTTGAGTTCCTGTCTGTTTTCTTCTGCAACGTAAGTGTGTGGTATTTTATTCTTGGCTGAACTGTGTGATTGATGGAATGTATTCCATCGTTTCATCTGAAAAACAATGTACATACAAAACATACCTTGTGTGCAGTCATCACCCGCCCAACCCACGAGACATCCACCGTCACATGACCCGTTGTAGCGGTCACATGATGAGTTAGTGGCAGCACACTTCCTCCCGATACATGTTTTCTTACAGTCGACACCATAGTGGCTGACGTTGCATTCTGACATAAAGTGGGTAAACATTCCGTTTTTGAGTATGTATACTTTCATTATAAATCAAACATGACAAGTTCTCTAAAAGGGGGGATACTGACATTTGTTTCCAGATCAGCTGAACAGTATAAAACGACATTTTTAAATGACGTGATAAAAGGGCATCCATTACATTGAGGTGAAGACGAAAGGCTGATGCTGTTCACCGTTGACACAAGGTACAATGTATGTAGATTTACCTCTGCTGCAGTCTTCTCCCGTCCATCCGGCCTTACATCCGGGTTCACACTTCCCAGTCACGTGATGACATTGCGAAGTTCCTTGACAGTTTCTTTCCTGACATTTGTTCGCGCATGCGTCTCCGTAAGTATCTTGGCTACATTCTGTAAATACGTAGTGGACGTTATATTAACAATGAAGCATACTGTGATGCATTTTAGATCATAAGGTTAGATACATTAGAAAGATAGTTCGAAAAAAGCATTTGTTTCAAAACATTTGGACTTAGATATCCGAATGTTCCAGAATGAGGACTGGAAATGTTCCAGAATGCTGGCTAAAAGAAACCATGAAGTACACTGAATAACATCTTTTTATCATGTGAATAACACTAAAGGCAATTCATGAAAAGAGTAGTTGCAGCACTTGCAGTTTATACCTCGGGTGCAGTCACTGTCTCTCCACCCAGGAAGGCATCCAGCGACACATGACCCGGTATGACGATCACATGGTGTGGTGCCAGCTACACACTTTCGTTCCGCACAGGCTTTGTTACAGTTTATTCCATAGTTCCCTGTGTCACATTCTGTAGTACACATGGAGATTGACATGAAAACGACAAATCGATGTTTCATGAGACATAAAGTGCTGTTTAATGATGTGCTTATAACGTGTTGTGTTGATGTTGAAAGAAATCTCAACATGATCCCAGAACTAGCAATGTTTCTGTTCAGTACCTTTTACGAGTTATAACCCCACATACAAACAACTATTTATCAAAAACTAGTATTCCATTTGTAATTGGGCCACATTCGTCCAAACAGTTAACGTCGAACGCACATTTAGCCATACCTGTGTGGTCTATTGTGTTAGTCCAACGATTTCATGTCCACGTCTCCAATATATCAGTGGTAATGGAGCAAAACAAACGTTCAAAATTGTTTCGCCACAACGTCTACAGTAATAAATCATGACTGTCAATATTGTCATTGTACTATCAAAATAATGGTTGTAAAATGTCAAAATATACTGAGTCAAATTAAAAACTTCACATTATTAAAAGTAATCCCATATATCATATACAACGGACAAATGTATCAGAGAAGGTAATTTGTAATTATTAATGTCCAAAGAAGGATTTTAATTAACGATGGTAACCATAATTTGTTCCAAGCACATACGGTATTCGGTAATAACATCAACAGTTTAAATCATAAGTCCCGAGAATCTGATGGTACACAAGTTTAGTAGCGTGTATGGCCACCATGTGCGTTGACAACTGCCACACAACGCCTCCGCATGGACCTTGTGATGCTTGTGAACACATGATTGGGAAGACGATGCCATTGTTGCTGCAAAATGGTGCCAAGATCTTGCAAATTCTGTGGTTGGTTCTGGAGAGTGCGCAGACTTCTGCCAAGAGCATCCTAGACGTGTTCGATAGGACGTTGACTCCCGCATTCTGAAGGAAATTCCTTGTCAAAATTGCTGTGTGGGGTCTGGCATTGTCGTGTTGGAAGATCAAACCGGGTCCATGTGCTGCCATAAAAGGCAGAAGTTCTGGTGCCAGTACCTGGTCGCGGTAAGCAGCAGCGTTGAGGTTGCCACGGATGACAAGAAGCCTTGAACGTGCATTGCCACAGAAAGCACCCCACACCATGACACTTCCGCCTCGAAATCTGTCAACTTCCTTTACACAACACTGGGCGTAACGTTCATGACGGCGCCTCCACACCCTCGCCCTACCATCAGCAAATCGAAGATTAAATCGGGATTCATCACTGAAGACGACTTGATTCCGATTCCTCTGAGTCCATTGTAAGTGTCGCTGTGCCCACAATTGACGTTGACGTCTGTGTAATTGAGTCAGAATCGGCCCGGAGTATGGCCGTCGTGCTTGAAGGTGAGCAGATCTCAGACGGTTTCGAACAGTTTGCGCACTCAGTCTACCCCTAAACATTTCCCAATGGTGTGTATTTGGTATTTTTTGCATAAAATTCTAAAAGACCTCCTCCCCTGTATCACACCTCTGTACCTTCCACCCTGGTCTACAGTCTCCAGGCCACACACCACTGACTGGAGAACACTACATCTGACAGTAAGATCTCCTTACCTGTATACACCTGTCTCCCTGCCACCCTGGTCTACAGTCTCCAGGCCACACACCACTGACTGGAGAACACTACATCTGACAGTAAGATCTCCTTACCTGTATACACCTGTCTCCCTGCCACCCTGGTCTTCAGTCTCCAGGCCACACACCACTGACTGGAGAACACTACATCTGACAGTAAGATCTCCTTACCTGTATGCACCTGTCTCCCTTCCACCCTGGTCTACAGTCTCCAGGCCACACACCACTGACTGGAGAACACTACATCTGACAGTAAGATCTCCTTACCTGTATACACCTGTCTCCCTGCCACCCTGGTCTACAGTCTCCAGGCCACACACCACTGACTGGAGAACACTACATCTGACAGTAAGATCTCCTTACCTGTATCACACCTGTCTCCCTGCCACCCTGGTCTACAGTCTCCAGGCCACACACCACTGACTGGAGAACACTACACCTGACAGTAAGATCTCCTCACCTGTATCACACCTCTGTCCCTGCCACCCTGGTCTACAGTCTCCAGGCCACACACCACTGACTGGACAACACTACATCTGACAGTAAGACCTCCTCACCTGTATCACACCTCTGTCCCTGCCACCCTGGCCTACAGTCTCCAGGACACATGCCGTTGACTGAGTCACACTACACCTGTCAGTAAGACCTCCTCACCTGTATCACATCTGTCTCCCTGACACCCTGGTCTACATTCTCCAGGACACACACCACTTACTGGGTCACACTACACCTGACAGCAAGACCTCCTCACCTGTATCACACCTCTGTCCCTGCCACCCTGGCCTACAGTCTCCAGGACACATGCTGTTGACTGGGTCACACTACACCTGTCAGTAAGACCTCCTCACCTGTATCACATCTGTCTCCCTTCCACCCTGGTCTACAGTCTCCAGGACACATGCCGTTGACTGGGTCACAGGAGATGTTCAGACAGTGGCAGAAGTTGTTGCAGAAATTGCCATATGTCCCATGGCTGCATACTGCACATGCAAGGTGGGGGAATCACATGTCATATTCAAGTCGTACCTCGTTAATTCAAATGTTTTGTTTGTCTGTTTGTTGTTTAACGCCGCACTCAGCAATATTCCAGCTATATGACGGCGGTCTGTAAATTATCGAGTCTGGACCAGACAATCCAGTGATTGACAGCATGAACATTGATCCACGCAATTGGGATCGATGACATGTATCAACCAAGTCAGCGAGCCTGACCACCCGATCCCTTTAGTCGCCTTTTACGGCAAGTATGGGTTGCTGAAGACCTATTCTACCCCAGAATCTTAATTGAGACATTTTGAGTAACAATATTACAAGACGTATCGTCTTTAAGTTAACCTATTCTAATTGTATGTGCGATTCAGTAAAAAGGTAAAATCCCTCATCAACTGCCTTAATCACATCAAGACTTCTCCAGTCACTATACTGCTTTGAACATTAGTAATGTTAAATATGAACGCCAAACAATAACCAATAATAGTAATAACCAATCTTGATTATCCGCAGAAACAATTTGCAGTGGGCAGAAAAGACAAAAATATCAGTGAAATTTATTTGAACGGATCAAGTTTTTGTGTTTTGCCTAGGACGGCGGCACGTTGTTTGTTTGTTTGTTTGTTTGTTTGTTTGTTGTTTAACGCCGCATTCAGCAATATTCCAGATATATGACGGCGGTCTGTAAATAACTGAGTCTGGACCAGATAATCCAGTGATTGATATCATGAGGATCAATCCACTCATTTGGAATCGATGACATGCATCAACCAAGTCAGCGAGCCTGACCACCCGATCCCGTGGTTTTTTACGCCTTTTACGACAAACATAGTTGCCTTTTATGGCAAGCATGGGTTACTAAAGGCCTTTTCTACCCCGGATCTTCGCGGGTCCGGTGGCATGTAAACAAATCAGACAATAAAGTGATCGCTCAGAAAATCCAGCAGCATGAAAGCGCATTTGCTGAACTCATTGTAATAAGACTAAATTTTAGTGGCATTTCATTCATATGTTTACAGCGGCAACTTAACACATCGGTCCTCTATGTGGATTTGCAAAACCGAATCAACAGTAAGATGATCATATTTTACATCATATTTCTTCTAACTAAACAATAAATATATTTATATGGAAATTTCTGTTTGGAAAATAAGTCCTCAAAGTAATTAAGGTTTATTGAGTTACGAAAGGCGTCATAATCTAAATAGAAATATACAATGATGTTCAATATTCAACTTAAAATAAACTCCAATGATTCTTTGGATAATTCCATTAAATACTTTATCTAAATCTTCGTTTGAGCTAGACATCTTCCAAATAATATCCAGCCTTTTCCACAGTAAAGGTCACATATAGTGCATATACCATGTTTAACTTTTGCACGAATTGAATGAAACACCATGCATCACGGGCATTTAACATACGGGTGATGAGTGGGTAGGGTGTAAGCCAAGTTTTAGCAAATATTCAAATAAGTCCTATTTCGTCACGATAAGCAAATATAGTATATGTAGATATAATTCGTCAAATAAGATGGCACGTTATCAGTTGGTAGATTATGTAAAATATGATAGTACCAACACATCGCCTTGGCCGTCCAAATGCAGTTGGTCTGAAAGGCTTAACATCAGATAATATGTGATGTTATATCAAAATCAATGTTTATTTGTCCAGATTGGATTTTCCCTTTATTCAACATACCGTATATTTCCACTTCACAGATGTTGAGCGTGTCATCCCCGTTAGCCGCTGTCCCCGGGTTCCTGATGGTGAGGTATCTGCCCCTGCCGTCACACACCAGGTCGATCACTGAGTCAGTGACAGTGGCAGGGAAGGTGTAGCACAGTGTCCCGTAAGAGGAGGTGTCATTACTCAGGTGTATGGTGCAGTTAGCGATCCTGTGTAAAACTGAAAGTTAAATCTTCACGATTCACTCACACTTTATATACAGGAGAGATGGTAATGACGCACATAACAAATGTAGAGAATATATTTAATCTGTTCCGCAGCTTGTGAGGCACGGATTTTCAATTACCACTAAAAATTACTTGAAACGTTATAAATTGGCTTCTTCGAGATAACACAAAGATAGCATATAAATCATGTACAACAAAAATAGGTATCAAGTTAAAACAAATATACCTTAGATAAGGTTATCAAAATAGAGTCTTAATATTTACCCAAATGAATATATACAGGACCACAATTATAAAGTTGGTCTTTTTTGACAAAGTTCAAGCAATGAGGAACAATACCGAAACGAACCGGAGATTTGACGACACTCGCAGCACGTGCAAGTTGTAAGCACAATAACAAAATTCTCTCCAGACTTCCTGTCACACATTATGAAGCATTTTCTGAATCAGTGTGTGCACTGTCTGAAAGATTTACAATTACTTGATCGTTGTTGCTGTAGTTTAAACTCTCTGATTGGCGATACTGTTGATCAATTTCAATTACGCGTCTTTTAGCATTTTGCCATACATTATGGTCTATTCGACCAAATGAAGCTTGTACAAACAATTTAACTTCGGACATTTAAGTGAAGTGTTGTTTCTGCCATAATGTTTTTAACAATTTGTCCGGATCAGTTCTTTTGGATTGAGTTGGCAATGTTGAACTGAAGTATGTTGCATTGATCAGCCGCCATCTTGTCTGTCTGATAAACAGCCTGCGTGTTGTAAAATGTGATCTTTTCATACAAAACTGGCTTGGAACCTTGGTTGGATACACGATACCTTGCTTATACATCCAGTTTTGCAATACAGCTTTTCTTGATGTCATATTAGGAGCCACACTTTCACTAATATTAGTAATGTTACTATCGTTTGTTTACAGGCTGACGTCACTTGAATGCTATGCGGCGTCAGGCAATACCCCCCCCCCACCCCCCCCCCCCCCCCCCTCCCTAAAACACACACACACACACACACCCCTGGACATCCGGTTAACACTGATCATTTTAGTACTAACCTTAGTCAATACTCTCGCCAAAGAACTATCGTCATCATCATCAATTCCGGTCCTAATGATAACATTGGTTGACTTGAACTGAACTGGTTCATCAAAACCAAAAGCAATATCTGACCACGCAGGAGGAAGGACAGCATTTAGTTGCTTGACAATAAAGCAACAAAACTCTTTCCATAGTCATAAGAAATCTCTGCCGTGAGCAGAGTCGATTGTTGGAATCGTCTGTATCATGAGCATCTGTTTGTGAATCACTATTAAATAGTGATGATACCAAATGTTCGCAAAAAGGTGATCGCAACCTGCCCAACCGGTGGCAACCGTCACACACACATACGAAGGCATGTCAGTTGTTCACCTGAAGAAAACACAGGAACATATGGCACCAGTCAAAATAGGGAATTGCATCGGGCATCTTGTTGTCACTGATTCGTCAAAGTTGGAAATGGCCTCTACCTTTGGAAAGCTTCACTGAGCCCTTGAATGTTGTAACCTTGATCAAACAACTTCTGAGCAGGAGTCGTATGACGCTCTTTGAAATCTTGGTAAGTAGATCATGTTTGATTGTACATCAAAACTTGTGAAATGTAGACACCAAGGACTGGAGCTGCAAGACTATTGTTCGCCATAAGGTAAAGTTGACTATTTGAAATTTGAAGTCATTCCTCTTCCCATACAGTCTTGGAGAGAGTGTCTTTTTACAAAATCTTTATGCAAAGATCTAAATATTAAAATGTTGAGGCTTTCTAACCTGGTCTCCTTCATTCCTAGTTCATATTGGTAAGTCAGTGGAAGGGAATTGGCTATTTGATGGCTACGGAACGATATAAAATCATCAATATACCTGAAGCTGAAGTTTAAAGAGTTAATGGAATCCTTGCCATTTGCCACAATCTGAATTAGAAGCGAATGTGGTTAATATTCATTTAAAGGTTAAAAGATCAGTCTCGATTTTTGATGTCTTCAAAAATGATCGTACTTCCCATGATGACTATGTTTCTCTGATTGTAATAGTTAATGTCCATTGTGGGGAGCTGTTAGGTTGGATCCTAGGATGTAAAGCTTTTAAGACCCATTTTGATGAAAATAATCTTTTCCTTCTTAATGTTGGTTCTATGACATGATATGACTTGTTTCATTTCGGCCCTGGATTTATCTTGTGTTTACCAACCTTGAACTTTTCGCAATAGCTGAACTAAAGGAAGCAGCTCAGAAGTGGCATTTCCCTGAAGCTGACTGGTCTGCGTTAACCGATCACGCCTGTTATAATAATCGTTTGATTTATTTCCTGTGAAAAAACAATCTCTTTCCAAAAGTTCAGTTAGGCTTCCATAAAAGTCGACCTTGTGCTGATCATTTATTTGGACTTGAAACTGAAATTAAAAAGGCTTAAGGTAGCAGTGAATATATAATGGTTGTTTCCATGGACTTGTTGTGGAGGGAAGGTTCGGTAATAAAACTGTATAAGTAAGGAGGGATAGAAGTATTCATGTTCACAATGGAACTACTCTGTCTGATATGTACATATTCAAGGAAGTGTGATCTCAGCCCTTGTCTTCTGTGGGTCTGATTTGAAGTTATATATAGATATTATATAGAGCTTACCTCCTTCATTCCGCAGGATTTAATCAACACTATGCTCGTCCTTTTTAATGAATTAAGTAATGGTATTTTGGATGCTGACTTTTATTGATACTTGCTCATGTTGGACTGCATGGACATGAGAAAGCTAATAAATTGGCATGAGTTGCATAAGACTTTGATGAGTCAGAGAAGGATGACTTAATATCGCCTTCTCCTGCAGAATTAGACACCGTTAGTAATATCCATGCTTAACAAAATGGTAACAGAGGTGGCCATCATTTATAAAAGCACGCCATCTTTATGGCACCGAGTCTTTTAATAATAAATAACATATATCTCTAAATAATCAAGGAGAAAAGGTTCTCTTAAGTGGACTTCGTCTCGGGCATTGTGGTCATGACTCATATCACAATTTCTTAATAAAGACGTTTCTGCTATTTGTACAGTTTCTAATAAGGTTGACAATGTGGTTCATTATGTGATGCATTGTCAAAATATGTAGATCAACGTAAGGTAGTGATGGAGGCTCTTAAAGTTATCAATATTGACCTCTCGTTGACTGGATTGCTTTGTTCCCTGAATATAAGTTTAGAATGTATAATTAATGCTTATATTAAAGCATGTGGCAGTTTCTCTACTTCATAAACATTCTAGGAATTTAGCAAACCTTAATTATGAGCAAGGTGTAAATGGCCTTCGTTGTCAGAACACCTATAAACCTTTCAAAGATCAATCAATCTCATAGCTTAACATAGATTTACGGCAGTGTTCTGCATGTTGACAATATTATACATAGTAGCATAATTCATTCCTAAAGCCTTTGCTGTTCTCTCATATACTCGATCAAAAGCAATAAGTGGTTCTTGAAGAGTTTGACAAGTGTTTCAGTTTTGAGTGGAACACGTCTGCCCTTACCCTTGTTATCTATTTCACAACGGTGTATAAGTCATCAAGTTTGATGATAAAGACTGTTTGTAATGTGGAGAAATAATTATCAAAGAGATGTAAGTATTATGATATATGCCGGTATTAGTATGTTTTCATACTATACCTAGAGTTGGCTTCACTTATCGATGTGAAGGTCACTGACTTAGACAAATTATCACCAAAACAGGTATTATTCCCATTTGTAACACAAAGCACACCTCCTTTTACTACTTATGGCTCTTTTCAGATATTGGTAGTGAAAGAGCCTTTCGAAATTGACAGTTTGATTTCTAAACGGGGAAATATCGCAATTTGTATGTGGAGAAACAATCAGTTGACGTATTCATTTACGAAGTGATTGGATACATTTATCATTCTGTTCTTCAAGTTAATACCATAAAAAATCAGAAGTGTAGCCTATCCTCATTATGTATTCAGTCTTATTATAACATAAAAACATGAATAATCAAGATGAGCCATAAACACAACTGACAGTGGCCAGGTTAGTGTAAAAGGTCAATGCCAAGTCTCCATTATCCGCCGAAATACATTCCACTGAGCGTAAAAGTTGCGGTGCAAGTTATATGAAAATCAGTGATGACTCCAGGTGTTCGCAATAAGGGGAACTCGGGATTACGCATCAGCAAGGCAATAAACTGTCAAGCGGAGACGCCTCTTTCAAATTTCATAAACATCATGAGAGTAATGAAATGTGTGACCCCACTTTTTACATTGATTTTAACGCGGACGTGGAGTTCGTCGGATTTCCTTGACTAAGTACTGTGTGTATGGGATGTTGTTCCCTGTACACACGTACTGAATCTGGCATAACCGCTGTACTTATTTTACATGTGATATATTTATTTACAGCTGTAGTCGTATGGCGTCAGTTCTCTGTATAATAACGTTTCAAGTAGCTGCTCAGGAACAGCACAGATACTATTACTAACACACCATTAGATAATAACTATTTGTTATTCATCAGTTACCAATAAATAACATTGTCTTTCCCTAGTATCTATGCAATATTATATTCGTGATATATTTTCTCCTGGCATCGTCGACCTATCATATTCTCCCGAGCTGAAGGTGAGAGTGGTCCAACTTGACACAGACATTGAAAAGAACGAGTACCGAGCAGTCATCAAGGTTTTTACTTTAGAGAAAAGTACTCCCTAAATAATTCATGACCGCATGTCACAAGTGTGGACAGCTTTGTTTAAGGGTGGGAGAACAAGTCTTGTTGACCACCTGAGGTCTGGACGTCCCTTTACTTCCATCAATGAAGATTTAATCAAAGAGAAAAAAGATTTACTGTCAGATAGACGTATTACCAGTGTTGCCATGGATCCATTGAAACTATTATTCATGAACATTGACAGATGAATATCTGATCGTTGGGTGCCAAAGTTTCTTAATTTCGATCT